TCACAATACACAGCTCGATCGGAGACCTATACATCTGCTGATATATTCACGTTCAATTCATCTAACACGACTAGTGACTTTGAAAATGAAGGGCAACCTAAACCCGAATGGAGGTCTTACTGGTATCGCATCTTTCGCACTGCGCACACGGAAGAAAGTAGAGGTCATCCGAAGCGCGGAAACGATAGTGTCCTTGTATTACCAACGAGCAACTACCTTTTTATCTTAAAGGTCTGAGATTGAGCACGCCTCATCGCTGAAAGACGTTCTCTGCGTTGCATCTCCTCAAGACTCAGCGGGGGAGGCGCCTGTGAAACAGATCCAATCAAAACCACTTCGCGCATCTTTTGGTCTACCTCGGAGTTCCTCAGTGATTCTTCCATGTTCGGGTCATCAATGTCTGGGTCCCTTTGGGGGTTGTCGAGATCAGGGAAAGCGGCGCGGACACACTCACGACAAACGAAGTCCTCAACATGGTCCATCAGCTCCGGAGGTACGCGCCTGAACATACGAGTCGAGTGACCATGAAAGAACAACACAATAAAGAACAATGGTACAAAAAGATTGCGGAGGATACCACAAGCTATCGTGTAGCTGATATGTATCATAGATGATAATCATTGGTGACAAGCGAGCCCGCCATAGAAGCATGCGCGAATCCACCGACATTTTCCGACGAATTGCGTCTGCAATACGGTACGAACATTTCTTGAAGAAGTTCCGTTTAACCAAAATCTCAATGATGAGAAATTTCAATCCTCCCGAGAGCGAACTATATTCACTTACGAGTGATATCAGAGAAAAACAACCGCAAGTATTCCCTCCGTACCTTTCTCGGCCGCAAATTTGGCAAGATGCATGTGAATCCCACGATCGGGACATGAAAGGCGATGAAACGCCCTTTAGGCGCTGCCACACTAGCACTGCCGCTATTCCACCGATCAAAATCACGATGATTACCACGATGATCCACCTGACGAAACGACGGGGAAATCAAAACTCGAAATCCCTCAGCGTTCCACAGGGAGTTCTACCAGAACAGCTATCGACAATTATATTACTAATACTAACAACAAGGAAGTTCAGGAGTACCGCCCGTACGATTGTTGCGCATACTACCATGTAGTGCCAAGTTCAGAAGATTGAAGTGATCGAACTTCGTGGGATGTGCTTCGTAGAAAGACGAAAGACTCTCTAGTCATGCAGGCTAAAGATCAACTTAAGCGCCGATGAAATGTGAACTCAGCTGCACGTTTGAATCAATTGCACGCATACACTCTGGACAAGGAATTTCCGGAGCGTCCTGCTAGATGGACCAAGAGTGCAAGATATGACCGGTCCTGACAAGGTCAGGGTCGGGGTCCTGCATGCCGAATCTCGTACTGTTCAGTACTGTAGTTGACGTCACCTGAGTCTAGTGGATCCCTGAAATGCAAACGAAGTGAAAATTGCCTTCAGTAACGTCTCAATGTGAAACCGGTTCACCTCTCAATTTCGTTCGCGAATTCCTCCTCAGAAACTTGAGCGATATCGTTCATCATTCCCAATATTCTGAATAGTCTTGATTACAATGTCTTGTCTGTCGCGCTTTGTTAATTTTTTGCCGACGATTCTGGCCAACGGAAATTGAGCCGTCCTCGCTCTCCATAACATCTCGTATATGT